TTTTTTTTCCAGAAACTAGCTTACGGTAGGGTGAAGATGGGTAAATTGGTGACCGGCAAACATTTAGGACTGTTAGAGATCAACAGGGCACATCAAAATGCAAATGACATATTCCACAATCTCAAAGGGGTTGCAACAGACTAGTGCCCCGACAGAGTATAAAGGCTGAAAACACCAAAAAAACACTAGAACAGCCACTGGTTTTTACACAATACGAACATAGCCAAAAAAATGGCAGCGGGGGAACTGATATCTCAATGCAATCTAGAAGAGAAATCACTGGAAACAGTTAAAGTTTTTCTTCCAGAAACTACAAAACAGGGGTCCAACATACTAGTGCTCGATGAAGTATAGAGGCTGAAAGCATATGAAAAAATCACCAGAAATGCCAACGTAGGTTCACGGAGATGCCATCTAGAAGAACATGTTGGTTTTTTTTTCAAAAACTAACAAAAAAGGGTTCCAAAATACAAGTGATCCGATGAAATCTAGAGGCTGAAATCACCAAAAAATTTAACTACAAATGTTTTTTTTTTTTTTTTGCCAATAGAAAAACATGTGAATTCACCAATACTAGTGCTCGGATTTGGGTCTAGAAACCACCACAAATATTTTCCATAAACTGAACACAAGGTTTTGAAAAAAACTTACCGAATTCGAGCCTATGGAGGAGGAGATATGGTTCCCTTGGAGATTCCCCAAATGCGAGGAAGGGATAGCAAGCCCGAGGTACCGGCGACGACAGAGGTAGAGGACCAAGGATTGACGTCTCGGCTGGACAGTTTTACGGCGTGCACCGTTTCCTCTACATCGAAGGAGGAGGTTTACCCACCTAGGTCGCCGCACCGACGTTGTCCCAACAAATCTCCCCGTTTTGAAGGGGTAACAGTAGACGACAATGGTAGAGGAAGGGGGTGACGGTACATGCGGAAAGGGGGTCGATGGTGTCTGCGGCGGATTTGAAATCCGGAGATTGGGGGAAAATAAGGCAACGGATTGAGGGCTTCAGAAATCGATGAAGGTTGGAGGACTAAACCCGGTTTCGAATCAAGGATACAGGAGAACCACGTGATTGCAGTGTAGAAAAGCTGAGAAAGAACAAAGCTTGCAACGGGAAGTGCAGGAATCTGCACTGTAGATGTGCAGAAAAATAACTCAAGTGGCAGGGGGAAGGTGAACTCAAAAACCGGGTAATAACTCGAAAAAATTTTTGAGTTCCATTTCGAGTTTTTCTTCTCCGAACATGAACTTGGGCTTGGAATCATAACTCGAGTGGGCTTTCTCGAGTAAACCGGGTAAACCGAACAACCCCATAGTAGCTGCAGGGAATTAGCGATTCCTTTGACCACAAAAATTAATTGTTTATTCTATTTTCAAATACGTACTGTTCTTCCCCATATTAAAGAGCATGTGTTTTGTTGTCACAAAGTTTACCGTCGTTCAAGTTGAATAAACGAGCAATTATGTTAGACAAGTTGGCTGTCGTTTATAATATGAGATGCCCTGTGCTTTGTGTCGTTTATTCTGTTGAGTTGTCTTTCTGGTCGTTTACTTGGTCTTTTAAGAACTGGTCGATAAGACGTAGAAAATATTTTTTTATTTTTTATTTTTTTTAATATGTGCATAGTAATGTTTTTTTTTTTTTTTTTTTTTTAAATTTTTTGGGTGTAATTTGCTGATTCGAGTTTAGAATTCGAGTTGAGATGTGACTTTATGTGAGAGCTTTTTACTGTAGCAAAAAAGTTAGATGTGATTGTTTGTGAGAGCTTTTTACTGTAGAAAAACTTGAATTCTAAACTCGAATCAACGAAGTGAACGGAGCCAATAATAACAACAACCTTCCCACGCTTCTCTCTCTCCCTTCCAATCTCTTTCTTCTCATTTCTTAGAAAACTCATAAAGCCCAACAAAAGCTTCCAAATAAGCTTCCAACTCCCTTGTTTGTTTACTCCGTTAACTCAAACAAAAACCAAACCCAGAAAATGAAAAACCAACGCCAGAACATCAACAACCAAAGCCTTTCTTTGAAAAATTATAAAAGAAAACCTCCACCGAAGAAGATATATACTACAATACAATGGAGGATTTGATGGGTTTGTGCACAAATGATAAACCTACCCATTAAATTGAAGCTGATTATTTAAAAAATAAAAAATAAAAGAAAAAAAAATCTATACTCATTTTCATTTTCTGGTTTTGCATTTTCTTCTCCTCTCTTACTTTTCTTTCCTCGTTCTTCTCTAGTTTTGCATTTTCTTCTCCTCTCCTCTCCGATTCTCACGTTTTCCTTCTCTTCCTCCTTCAGCTCTCCTTCCGCACAACAACAACTCCTCTTCAATCTGAACGATTTTTAAGATTTTCGTGAGGGAGACCAGAGAAGAGGGAGAGTGAAGGAAAGACAACGGACCGTGGTAAGAGGAATAAGCTGAAGAGAAAATGGAAATGGAAAATGGAAAACGAGTTTAATTCGTTTTCAAAAAGTGTGAACTTTTGGGACTACCGACAAAAATATTTTCATTTTTGTTTTGTTAAGATTCAACACCAAACGTATTTCTCAAACTATTTTTATTTTTTCTCCTCGGAAAACGTAAAAAATGTTTTCAAAATGGGTTTCAAATGGGACCATTATTATTATTATTATTATTTATTTATTTAAGATATTTTTAAAAATACTATTTGATATTTTTAAAAATGTATAACTAAACACAATTTTAATTTTTTTTTAAATTGAAAATAATTCCTCAATAAAATTGTTAAATACATTTTTAAAATTTTTTTTCCTATTTTTACTTTTTAGGGATTTGGTCTATATTTTTTCAAAATAAATAAAGAAAAAAATTTCTTGAGAGTTAAGAGGGAGGAGGAAAAGAAATTCAAATCCATTTAATAATATTTCCCGCAGACGTAGACCAATTGTTCTCTCTCCCTCTCTCTCTCTCTCTCTCTCTCTCTCCAGAGACTCCACAGACGACGCAAGAACGCTCAGAGAAGACGACGATCCTGAAAACCCTAATCACAGAGTTCTTCTTCTGAGAGAGAAAATTCTCTCTCTCTCTCTCTCTCTCTCTCTCTCTCCAGAGACTCCACAGACGACGCAAGAACGCTCAGAGAAGACGACGATCCTGAAAACCCTAATCACAGAGTTCTTCTTCTGAGAGAGAATATTCTCTCTCTCTCTCTCTCTCTCTCTCTCTCTCCAGAGACTCCACAGACGATGCAAGAACGCTCAGAGAAGACGACGATCTGCAAAACCCTAAGCACAGAGTTCTTCTTCTGAGAGAGAAAATCCTTTTGCATTTCTCCTCTCGGCTCGTTCGTTGGTTTAATTTCCCCAATCCATGGCCTCGAAGGACCCGGACGAGGCTCCTCAATCGGCGACAGAGGAGGATAACCTGACTCGCCGGCTGGAGATGAAGCGCACGCGGCGAGTGAGCTTCGCCGACGAGATCACCTCCGTCCGTATTTTCTGCCGCGACGAGGATTACGAGACGCCTCCCGAGTCCAAGCCCAGCTCTGGGACGGCCGACGCCGAGGCGCGACCAGAGAACGAGGCCTCAGGGTTTTTCGGGAGCTTGGGCGGCGGCGACAGCGATGACGAAGGAATCGTCAATGGCAGGAAGTCTTTCCTCAGGCCGATGGGTTCGCCCTCTCCAGGGAGCAGTTCCCCTGGCTCTGTCACCTCCAATGATGGTAAGTTAACATTTTCCTTTTTCTCTGCGTATTTGTTTGGTTCTCGGGAAAATAAGAGAATTATGTCAGGGAAACTTGAGCTCTCTTTTCAGCATTTAGTGTTTTATCCCTTTATTTTTGTTTTCAATTTAAAAATATGATAATAGGACACCAGTGATTGTTATTAACTAGCTTGCTGAAACTTTGAGATCTGTGAATTACATGCCACTGAAGTGCTATGCTTTTTCTTTAAAAAACAATAGAACTCTTTCAGATGCAGCTGAAAGGAAAAAAATAAAAAAAAAGCAGATATATGTGAAGAAAACGAAAGTTTTGAAAGAGGATTTTTAGCCTTAGAATTCAAAGTTATCCTAATAGGACGCTAGTGTTTTTTGTTTCCCCTTATTTTACGGTTTGTTGTTCTTTTAAAAATTAAAACTCATTTTTGTAATATCTAGTGGCATTTTTGTTAGAATTCTTTCATTTTGTAAATCTGGCAGTTAGGTTCTCACTTGAATGTTTGAGTTCTGATTGTCTTGGGAAAAAAACACTTAAGTACCTGTTTCTGGGATTTCCCTCTGCAGAAGATAATTTCATTGGTCCTGTGTCGGCGAGCTTCATTAGACCTGGAAGATTATCTGACTCTGCTGCCTCGGATGAAATTCATGAAGAGACTTTGGATACGACAGCATTTTCAATGCATTACCGAAGTCTTGCAAGGTCAGACTCTGGAGAACTCAAGACCCCAACAGCAGTTCGCCTTGTCTTTGAAGAGAAGACAGCAACCAATGATCCTAATCTGACTGATTCAGGGAGTTTAATGGCATTAACAGATCCTAAGAGGCCAAGTTCTCAATCTCCAGTTGCCCTTGAAAAGATTAGAGGTGGCAAAGAGTCAGATGACAGCATGAGTATTGTGGATGAAAACCCAAAGACATATAATTATGGAGGTCTATCACCAACATTGGATGCACTTTTGGGAGAATGTAGCATGGATCTGATTACACTTGAGAATGAGTATTTAAGAGCGGACCAAAATGGGATGAGCTACATGGATCACAGAAATAGTAGAGATTCAGAATTGGTAAATCTTGATACCAATGAGAATCTTGTGGAGGCAGCTTCTGTTTCTCATGGCATATTGCTCGAGGTAAATGGCGGTTCCTGTGATCAAATTGGTTTTGATTTCTTGTCTAAGAGAAACAGTGCTCTAATATCTCCTGGTGCCTCCAACCACCAAATATAGAGCCCTAATCAATTACTCAGTGTATGACTCTCTACTTGGTTAGGCTTGCAGTAGAGTTGTCACCCAGTTTATGCGTTCTCATCTTTTTGTTGTTTTAAATGCCTGATACTCTATAGGTTTCTTCGATGTTTACCTTATTGAAGCTTTCTTGCATTTATATAACATCAATATTATACTTCTGAACACGCAATAATATTGTTTTCTTTTTCCTATTAGACTTGATTCCCAGAGATAAATATCTTTTTTACCTACTTTTAACATTACAATTTATGTTGCTTAAAGATATTTGAAGTCTCTTATGGATACCTAAGGCATTGATGTTCATGCTTTTGTTTTCAGGGAAATGAGAGATTTGTTGAACATGCTACATCTGAGTGCCATCATTTAAATGAAAGCTCAAGAAGAGAAAGTTCTACATTGGAGGGATCGCCCATTTCATTGTCTGGTAGACAACAGCCAGCAATTTTGAATACTCCTACTTCAGCCAAAATATCAGATATAGCATCTCCTTCCTCTAAACGGGTAGATGTCCAAAGTAATGAACACATGAAGCATGCTGACAAGAGCATTTCTCAATTCAAATTTCCCGATACTTTGTATTCTGGTTCCAGTATCAAACAGGGAATTGATAAATTGAAACACAGACTGTCAAAGTACTCCTCTATAAGTTCTCCCTTTAGTAGTGTTTTAGATAAAAATAACGAAGAACTTCAATCTGATTATGGAAGTACTCCAATAGCTTCATTGGTGGAAAAATTGTTTACTGCTGATGGGAAGAATGAAGATATAAGTATGGTTAGCGTAGCAATTGATCAAGTTGAGACGCCAAGAAACACTGGAAATCTGGTTCAGAACAAAGAGATCACAGGTCTTGCAAAAGATGGACAGTCTTTGAATTCCATGTCAACGGATGTTCTTTCCAAGGATATACCCAATAAAATAACATCAGGGTCTTCACCCTACGGGTTGGCATCGTCAATAACAAAAGTGATGCAAAAAGAGCTAGCTCCAGGATCTGCCATGAATGTGCGAGCTCAGAGCTCTCCTGCGAAAGAGCCATTGCAAAGTCCACGAGCCAACATGCTTATTTCAAGTCCCTCTTGGTATGAAGCAACTCACAGTCCTTCCAGAAAAGAACCAACAGAGAGCCCTTCTAGGCTGGACACATCTAGTGCAACTCACAGTGTTAATGTGCAATCCTTTCCTGGGAAAGACATAGCATCGACCAGGTCTGATTCTGGTGGGCCTGAAAGTGACAACCTCCATCAAGGACATATGTCACAGAGTCCTTTTTTCACAAAAGATGTAGAGATCTCTTTGGAACGGAAAAAAAGAAGAATTGGAGTTGTTCTTGAGGATGATGGAAAGCCTACATACAAAACTCCCAGGATCCAAAAAAGTTCAGATGCCGATAGAAGCGGAAATTATGATTATGAGCTCATGTACAACCAGTCTAATAAAATTCTTCATGAGACAGAGAAAACTGAAGGTGACAGAACACAGAAGCAGTGGCTTGATGTAAGTGTAGTATTTTTCTGTTTATGGATTCATGTTATAGACATAATCAGCTTTGTTAACAAAACAGGCAAATCTTCTTCCTCAAGTCGCTCCCTTTGTTTTTCACCTTAGACTTTATCTTGCAGATTTGGGTAGCATTTTCCGGGGATGCAGAGCAGTTGCTCTCACCATCAATAAAAAAGCTTAATCTCAAAGCTGTAAATTCCGTTATCTTATCTTTCCACCCCCCACTCCACCACACACACAAAAGAAAGGATTTATGTGTAACTATTGATTATGGTTTAGTTTTTCTATGGTTCATTATTCAAATTAGCAAATCACTATTTCTTCATCATTTCTCAGATAGGCACGCTGGAAGACAGTTTGATTCACTTGTTGAAGGTTAAGAAATATGAGATGCTTGCTTCTGAAATTAAGTCTCAGGTATAATGAATAGTGGAATTTATGCTATCCTATAATTTTATGTGCATAATTTACTCTTGTTGATCATGTTGCTTCTCTAGTTTTCTTGTTTCTCCATTGATGTTCTTTTTTCTCCCTTCTACAGAGTGTCTCTGACCACTTAAGTGTTAGGCATAATAAAAGGTGGTATTTCATTATTTATGGTAATCTCGTGGATGCTTCATTATCGTTCTTATCTTTGCATTACTGATTCTGCCTATTGACATTGGCGAGTGGATCTGCTACAGGGTAGCTGAAACAAGATTGATGCTATATAAAGTTGCATGTGAAAAGGCAAAACTACAGTTGATGGGTGCAAAGCAAGTGAAATTGCAAGTATTATTCTCTCCCCTTTTTTTTCCCTTGTCTTTTTCTGTAGGCAGGATAGTTCTTTTGCAAGTTTATAATTATTTACATATGCTAAAGCTTAATCACACGCTCTTGTCTGGTAAGCAGAAAAGAGTTTTGCTTTTGAAGTCCGGAATTCAGGAGTGCAAAATGTTGAAATTGAATTATAGCCAACAGTCTAAAAGTGGTAGAAGAAATGCTCAAGTTGATGACAGTCACCTTCAGTCATGTACAGTTAATGTTGAGGGTGAACAACAGGTATACGTATGAGCTTGTAGATAGTGAAGGTATTAGGTCTTGTGCTGTGTATATATGTGTTTTTACAACGATGGTTGCAATTCTGCCACGTTCTAATTTCCTTTAAAATTTCAACACAACATCCTGAACAGGGTGATTTCCCCTAGGGATTTGGGTTGGGAAGTTTGGCAATAAATCTTGCTGTTCATTGTTATCATGAAGTTTGCTTTATTACTTGGAGGTGGTTTAGTCCTTCGGAGTCCTCTGATTATTTTCTTATTCACATGTAGCAATTTCGTTTGCTGATTTTGATGCTTGAATTAATTTGACGTTTCACTAGAAACATTAGTAGTGACAATACCCTTATCTCTCTCTTACAGGAAATGTTAACCCCATTTCCCTCTATTAGTATATATCTTACAGTGTTTGTCAATAGCTGATGGAATTGTCAAAATACATGATGAAATGAATCACGTGAGTGACAATATGCGTGGTTCTTTTATTTGGGCCTGGCTGTCGACTTGTATTGGTAGAACTATTCTCTGATTGTATAGGAATATATCAAATAATATATCATTCAGGATACTATTTTACTTTCTTATTCTTAATCGGTGGTTGTCCAGCCTATGGATAGACATAATCTTGTGCTGATAATCAGGTTAATTTGGGTTGTAAAATTTGTGTTCATAAATGTTATATAACAGGATGCAAGTGACACCATGAGCAAAATGAAGCAGGACGTTAAAGACTTGCACACAAAAATAAATAGCTTAAGTAATTTCTTTCATAGTTATTGTAAGTTGAAATTAGGAGACCGAAGCTGTGCCGACACTCTTGCAATAGTTTATGATGATCTGAAGAGAAGAAAATGTTGCAGGCTTTTACGTCAGGAGTTACAGGTCTTTCCACTATTTGCTGTGATTTTCGTTGACTCATTAACTAAGTGTGTCTGAAGTAGCTAACAGGACTATCTTGTCTATATTTCTTCAGTTGTGGAATGTTCATAGGTTTGAGAATCAGGATGGCCTTTACAATCTTTTTCTCAAATATCAGGATTACCTCATCCAAAGGTATTTTTTCCCTCCTTTTATTGCTCTTTTATATTTAGTTTTATATACGCAATGGACCGTGGCTTTGGTTGTTATGGCTCTATTTAGATTTTACATTTGGGAAGTCAACTTGACAATACAGGTTTACTATAAATTTTGGACCCGAATCAAGTATTGTTATCTCAAACCAATTGAATGATATAAACATTGTGAAGGTAAAAAGGCTAAGAAGTTATTTGTATCATCCATTTTTTTAATATATTTTTACTTTTTCGTTAAAGAATTTGTTTGTCTTGTTAACTTGTTATCCTTAATATGCTATTCAATCTCTTGTTAACTAGATGTTTCCAAACATGGATGCTCATGTCGCTTTTGCATTTGTGTTAAATGCTGAGGTCACTAAACGATTTGTTGATTCAAATTGTTTAGCACAAGAAACTCAAGTAAGTTATTGCATCTCTTTTTATTTGTTTGCTTTAAAAGTTTATTAGCAAAAAGAGTTGCGGTAGCAAAAAAAAATTACGGAATAGCATTGTGGATCCTCAAAAATTGAGGGATATGACTTCAAATTACTTTTGGCTTTTCCATTGATATTGTTATGTTCTGTATATAGGTTACCCAATCTCTTCTACGTAATCTGCTAGATGTCATTGAGGAGGTACAAATGGCTCATATGGAGATTTGGAATTTGATTCAGACAAAATTTCACTCTTCATCTGGTAACAAATATCTTTGTTAAATTGCTCTCTCCCTCTTTGGTTCTTTTCCATTTCTTTCGTCCATTATCTGCTTTTAAAGCTTGGGATTTATGACCTCGGGTTACATGAGTGATGTTCTTTTAATGCTAACCAATAGTCAATAACCAGTTCCTGACTCCAGGCTTTCAAACCAATAAGTCTATAAAGCTTTCATATTGCCTATAGTAAATTGATGTCCTATTGTGCATGCTGTTCACACTCAACGTTGATCCTTTTTGGGATATCCTTCCATAAATCTTCCAATTGAAATTAGTAGGTTGTCATGCCAAAAAATGCTTTTATACCATTTTGGCATTGTTGATTGATTATTGCTACTTAAATTGGCTACACATGGGTAACGTTTGGGAGAAGGGGGAAAAAAAACTATAGCCTACAGCATCTCCAACCCCTAACACCAAAATGGTGTAATTGTCACATCAAATAGTAAATTCATCTCCAACCCATTTCACAATTTCTAACCCCAAAAAGAATATTCCATGTATATTCTTTTTTATCTCCCTTTTTATATTCCTTTTTACTAATTCCCTACTATTTATCTATTTTTCAAATTATGCCCAAATACAATATTTTTTCAGTTCGTATTATTTACATGTTAATTTTTCTCCATATTAAATTAACCATAAAACACATATAACAATGTCGGATACAAAAGAAAGTTTTTTCATTTTTAGGTAGCAAAAAAGAAGAAAGCTTGTTGAAAAATAAGAAATTGGGGAACTATCGAAAAGTAATATTCTTTTGGTGCCCTTTTTGTGAATTAAAAAAAAGGAAAAAAAAAAACAAAAATGACATGGCATTTGGTGAGTTGAAATAGTGGAAACGAATCCACATCCACGGCAAATTGTCGTGAAAATTGGCGTGTGATTGGAGCTAATCTCCACCGCGATATTCACTTTTGCACACCAAAATGGCGTGCGTTGGAGCTGGCCAAGCGATTTATGATCTACTTGACAGTAATGAAGTGACTAAAAAAGGTGGGAGGAAAGAGACATATTGTGTTTTTGTCGGTGTTCTGTTAAAAATGAAAAACTTTAAGGAAAGAATAGAGTTGCTTGTTAGATTAAGATAAGTTAGTCCAGTCACAACCAGAAACAAGGTCGTAAAGAATTCTCTGCTCTTGGATTTTAAACATCTCTTAGTTACCATACTTGCTATTTACATAATAACTGCATGCTGTTTAATCCATCATTCTTCACTAGATTTATATTGACGAAAGTCTGTTATGGAGCAGTTTTCAAGGTCTATATGCTTGGTTTGCAGGTCAGCAGCTTGATTTGCAGCTGTGTTTTATCAATTTTCATACTGGTATAAAGGTGACTTTGACCCTTGATGTCACATGTTTGAATAGGTATACATTTTTCTGTTTGTTTTTCATCTCATCTTTTTTTCTCCTCTAAATAGATTGGTTGATTGATATTGTTTGGAGAACCTTAAAATAGTGATACATCTTGTCAGTTCCAATGCTGCTCCTAGCCACCCTGCTATTTTTCGATGGTTATTTCAGTTTTGAGACACATTTGTTTTTTCTTTCTTTCTTTCTTTCTTTCTTTCTTTCTTTTTTTTTTTTGTGTATATTCACGAGTGGGTTTATTTTATTCTTTTGCTCCTTTACTCTGGGTAATGCTTAGTTGACGGTGTTAGTTTGAGACTTTGTTTGAGTTTGACCATATTAGCATGAGTTGCCTTGTGAGGATCCCTATGTCTAATTAAAGATAGAGTAGGATGTGACAAACTAATAGTGAACTTAAGATCCGTGGATTTCTTTAACGTAATATATCTCATAATTCTTTTAGAGAAAAATATATCTAATAATAGCTGTGTGATTATGCTTTTCAAAACTGCCATCCATGCATGCATTAGAATCTGTTTCTCTTAGAAAAGAATGTGAAACTTGAATTTGGGCAGGTAATCTCTTCTTCTATAGCCTATGGTTGAGTTACTGCGGATAATAATAGCTACAATCGTTCTTTCTGCTGTTTATTAATTCGACAGATGACCCTAATTTATTTATGCCTTAAACTGTAACAAGTAACTCTAATTACACTGAATTGTCTATTGACATGTTGGACAGTGGTGTATATCCTCTAGAGATCCTTCCGCATCAGGTACAAAGTCCGGCGGCCGTGGCACAAAAATTACAATCAGTCTCGGGTGAAATAAGGTCTGTGGCGGAGAACCTTGAGGTTGGATATTCGAGGATAATGAGGCTCTGCAGGCGTGTTTCCCAGGTGCTGCAAGGTTCAAGGACGTAAACTCTCAAGGGGAAAGGTTAGGAAAGAGAACAAACTTGTCAGATCGCTTTATGCTTGTTTTTCCTTGTAAATAGTAACTGAAGGAGATCCATTCCTGACCCATTCAAGTAGATATTGCGGTGTATTTGGACTTGCCACTGTCTTTCTCGGCGATATTTCAGTTAAAATGTCCATTCCCCAAGAGTGTAAAGTTACAATTCAATCTAATTTTGTGAGCTTGAGAAATTACGCTGGCCTATGTTTTTCTGCTTAGCATAATGTTTTGATGTGACAATCACGAGGAGAAGAAATCTGCTTCTACTAAGCAGAGGTGAAAACAAAACGTAGAAGTTTTAGATTCATTTATCCTTTTTTCTTTTGGTCTCCTTGAAGTTCCTTTACAATGTCCTAGCGATAGATGGTATATTACAGACATTCTAGAGAAATCATCCTCAAGTCCTGAAAAAGTTAAACAAGGCACTCGTAGGCTGAAAAAAGAGAGAAAAATACCCACTGATAAGACAGAAACAGAAAAATACCCATTGATAAGACAGTTTTTCAACAATTAAATCTGTTAGATTATTATTATTTTTATACAATATTAGTTTATCTGACAGATAAAGCTGTGTTATGTTGGTAGAGTATCATGAAATTATCGTTTGGGGAATGCTGGTTGCATACACAAATAATAATAATGATGGTGGTGGTGGCGGTGGTAATGGTAAATGATGTCAGTAATAGTAATAATGAGGGTTTTTCAATTGTTAGTTTTTTATTATTAGATTTAATTAAAATCACAGTAAGATTAAAAAATGTATGTAAAACAGATAATTTTTTATACAATTTGACAATTGAAACAAACCATTTTTAGCTAGTTTATATTTCAGTCTGCTGGAGAAATTTGCTAATATTAAATAAGTCTTCTACCTTCCCCTATCGAAGTTGTTGTACATTTGCGGGTACCAGGTTCTTTCCTTATTTGCTGCAAGTTGTAATTTACATAATCCAAGACTTTTCACGGCACCAGCATGCTTTGTGCAGTTGGAGGTACGAAGCATCTATTATGAATCCCACTTTGATCCAAAGTTAGAAAATGGCATTGTTGACCCTGCAAGCAACTTTTTCACGACCCTAGAGTTCAGACTGTGGTTTAGGATCTAGCTGAATTTTCATTTTTCATGTTTTTTTATTTTTGGAAATATGCAGAATTCTGTGACTTGTTGGTTGGTGATCCAAAGGGGATATAACTCCCAACGTGGTAAATGCTGCTGAGTTGTATGATGCTTTCGGTAAGCAATTTTGTCCTCAAAATTCAAAAAAGGGTCGCTGAAAATAAGATATATTCCTCATCTACGTTTTTGTGAGATCCTCTATGACTTTTTTTTTTTTTTTTTTTTTTTTTTTTTTTTTTTTTTCACAAAACTGTTTGGCATAACAAGTCTATGGTAAAAGAGTCAATTCTTCAGCCTTTATGTTAACGGGGACAAAACTCACATTTGTGACTTTGCGTGGCATGGTTGTTGTGTGTCCCATTAATTGTCACACTACGACTGATTTTCTAAATGGTCCATACGCTGGCAATTTCCATACATACCCCCAAATTCAATAATTAAAAGTATTTATTTGTATGTATCCCTGCATAAGCATTCATTTTGAGGGTTTTCCCTAAAACAAGGAAAATAAAACTAATGGACGAAATTAATGCCTTCCTTGTTTATTTAGAGATGCACAAAATTAATGCCTTGTTTATGGCAACATTCATAATATGAATGGTTTGGATTTACTACCACTAGTCGCTTATAAGGCAGACTTCTTTATGTGTTTACGAGGAACAAGTGAGAGTAAATATTTGCTTTATGTTTACAAAGCAACTGCTATAACTCATATTGAGGATTAGAGTATTCTTGAATTGAGGTTTCACAGCCGAAACTTGACTTATTTTAATTTTTATTTCATTTCATTTCCATTCAGACAAAAGTAACATAAAAAGAATAAGTCACGGGGATGTGAAATCAATGCCTCAAATCAACAAATGAAGAGAGACAAGATATGGTCAATGATTAATTAAGATTTAAGAAATGACTTAGGAGTCGGCTTGTCTAAGCGGCTAAGCCCTAGTAAGGACTAAGGAGGAAGAAAAGAAAAGATTAATGTTAGAACATCCACTCAAATATTAATTTTTGTGTATTAATTAATATGACATGTGAATTATTATTATTTTTATTAATAAATATAATCTCTTATCATAAATTAACGTAATAATATTTTAAATATTCACTAATATAAGAATAACAACTCATACACCGTATAAATTAATAGTTGAGATTTGAGTTAATTTTTCTAATATTATTCAAAAGAAAATGGGGTCACGTGCAAAAGAAAAGTGTCAGGGGGTAAATTCTCCTTTTTGAGCAAACTGGGTAAAGAGTTCCCTGATGAGAGTGGGGTAGGTAGGGTCCGTTGGGATCTCACATGTCCTTTCTTTGCATGTCCTTTTTTTTATAAGCTTCTGTGCAGTTTTTTCCTTTTCATCATTGTCCTTTCTTTGTTGTTTTTTTGACAGATTATATGCAAAAATACCGCTTATAAGACTTATCTTACAATTGATATGGATAATGTTTAGTTTAGATCTCCCATGCTCATGTTTGTATTGAGATGTTGTTTGTAAGGTGTTTGATGTAATGTCTAATTGAGTTATTCACGTACGGTAATTTGAAATTACCGCTGGGCAAACTCTGTAATGATCATAATTAATTTTTTAAATAAAAATTGTCTAAGTTATTCACTTCCCGTTTAGTTCACTGATTCGAGTTTTTAATTCGAGTTGAGATGTGATTTTATGTGAGAGCTTTTTACTGTAGCAAAAAAGTTAGATGTGATTGTTTGTGAGAGCTTTTTACTGTAGCAAAACTCGAATTCTAAACTCGAATCAGCAAAATGAACGGGGCCTTTTCTTTTTAAGATTCTACTGGTGGTTTTTTCATTTGATATATAAACGGTAAAAAAATCCAAATATTAATTTTTGTGTATTAATTAATATGACATGTGAATTATTATTATTTTTATTAATAAATATAATCTCTTATCATAAATTAACATAATAATATTTTAAATATTCACTAATATAAAAATAACAACTCATACACCGTATAAATTAATAATTGAGATTTGAGTTAATTTTTCTAATATTATTCAAAAGAAAATGGGGTCACGTGCAAAAGAAAAGTGTCAGGGGGTAAATTCTCCTTTTTGAGCAAACTGGGTAAAGAGTTCCCTGATGAGAGTGGGGTAGGTAGGGTCCGTTGGGATCTCACATGTCCTTTCTTTGCATGTCCTTTTTTTTATAAGCTTCTGTGCAGTTTTTTCCTTTTCATCATTGTCCTTTCTTTGTTGTTTTTTTGACAGATTATATGCAAAAATACCGCTTATAAGACTTATCTTACAATTGATATGGATAATGTTTAGTTTAGATCTCCCATGCTCATGTTTGTATTGAGATGTTGTTTGTAAGGTGTTTGATGTAATGTCTAATTGAGTTATTCACGTACGGTAATTTGAAATTACCGCTGGGCAAACTCTGTAATGATCATAATTAATTTTTTAAATAAAAATTGTCTAAGTTATTCACTTCCCGTTTAGTTCACTGATTCGAGTTTTTAATTCGAGTTGAGATGTGATTTTATGTGAGAGCTTTTTACTGTAGCAAAAAAGTTAGATGTGATTGTTTGTGAGAGCTTTTTACTGTAGCAAAACTCGAATTCTAAACTCGAATCAGCAAAATGAACGGGGCATTTTCTTTTTAAGATTCTACTGGTGGTTTTTTCATTTGATATATAAACGGTAAAAAAAATCCTACAACCAGCAAGATAAAGTTGTTGAATTGGTACACTACGGTAATTTTTAAAATGAGCACTCGATAATTTCTGTAATGACCATAATCAATTTTCTGAATAAAAACAGCCTAAGTTATTCACTAAATAACTTTTTTTAGATTCTACTAATGGTTTTTTCATTTGATATATAAATGGTAAATAAATGGTATTACCAGTAAGACAAAGTAGTTAAATTGAAACACTACGGTAAGTTTTAAAATTACCGTTCAGTAAATTCTGTAATGACAATAATCAATTTTTTGAATAAAAACAACCTAAGTTATTGACTAACCAGCATTTTTTTTTTTTTTTTAGATTCTACAAGTGGTTTTTTCATTTGATGTATAAATGGTAAAGAAATGCTACTACCATCAAGACAAAGTGGTTAAATTGTTACACTACGGTAAACTCTAAAATGAGCATTCGGTAATTTCTATAATGACCATAATCAATTTTTCGAATAAATACTGCCTAAGTTATACACTATGCAACTTTTTTTAGATTCTACTATGCGTAACCAATATTAAAAGAAATCTTGGAAGATGTTGACGATCCATGTTTTAGTGGATAAGTTAGTAACAGAGTACTCAAACTGATATGTCGGCCGAGGCTGAAAAAAATTAAGAGTAAACTAATAAGTCAGGAGCCACCTCCTGCTTCTCTACGTGCCAACTCTGCATTGCAGATCTCAAAAATTCCATCAAGAATCCAACAGGTATTCTCCTGACCTTTCGACATCATACATAACTCACAAATGTGAAATAAGAAACCTTGAAAAAAGAACGTTTAAATTGTGCATCTAAGAGATAATTAATTTGAAAGTGAATTTAACATTAAAATCTCACTCATGAAAAAATAAGTTTAGCATATGATGCTGATAATCACCATTATGAGCACTAGTAATTATGATAATTACTATATGAGTCACAACGATAATTATCGTTGGTTATTATCGTAATGACTATCTGGTAAACGAAAATTATTATTTTGTGAACATAACGATGCTTACAGAGCAAATCTAACTGATATTCTACTTATTATTCAAATTGGAAATAAATTTGACCAATTGATTCCCTCAAAATCATAACCGAAGAGTTTTTTTTTTTTTAAGATTTCTTACCATATATGTTGTAAAAAAAGTCAAAGTGCTCTTTATTAACACTTCTAAACGAGGTTGTGTTGCACATTATATGCAAATAGGGATTAAACGCCTCTAGGAAATATCTGCAACTTGTTCATGTGTGGAGAGTGGGAGAGAAAGAGCATAGAAAGAAAGAGAGTGAGAGAAAAAAATGTGGGAGCTCAAATAAAGAGAGAAAAAGCTATGAGTTCAAATGAAAAGAGAAAAGTTGAGGAGATATCTGCAACTTATTCAAGTGAGAAGAGATAGGAGAAAGAAATAGAGATAGAAATATGAGAGTTCAAATGAAAAAGAGAATGAGAGTGAGAGAAAAAGGAGGAAGATCAAATGGAGTGAGAAATTTAAGAGGGAAGCTAAATTTTAAATTTTGCCGAGGGTAATTTTGACAATTTAATTTCGTGAGTTCCTCAATTGCTGATGTGACAGTATTAAAAATAAAAGTATGAAAAAGTGGTACTGGTCCTAAGTAATTATTATAATCGGTGTTATTTTTGTAAATAATCCTTTTTTGACTGGGCCCTTTTTAGGCACAACTAGGTATCATCGATCCATTAACTCCAGTTACTTTACTTTTTAATTTTTATAAATTTTTAGAGACTTTTCTAGTACGTCAACATATCAGTAGATTAAATTTTGACGACTGTAAACAGGAAACACCAGTATTTTTTTAAAAAAGAAAACACCAGAGAAAGTCCAATAAAAATATTGTACTTGTAGTCTTGTATTTAGTACTCAATTTTTTTTTTCATTTTTTGAGGTACACATTACATTAAAAATAGAGAATTTTTTTGGTATTCTATCTTTTTTGAAAATAGCAGTATTTTTTATTTATCAACCGTTAAATTTATTTTTATTTTTTAATTTAATTTGATTTTTAACTAAATTTAATATAGATAAATATGAAATACTGTTATTTCTAAAAAAGAGAAAACTAAAGAAAGTCTTTTTTACTTGTAGTCTTGTATTTAGTACTCAGTATTTTTTTTTTTTTTTTTTCA